TGCCCCCCCCCCCGCTGGTCTGGTCTCCCCCAATTGCCCGCCTTGCCAGCCTAGTTGCCCCACGCAGCCTGCTTGTTCAGTTGTTTGGTCGTCCCTTATTAAACCCCCGCCAGTCTGGTTGTAGGCAGCCATCTTGTGAGGGTGTGAGGGTTAATTTGCATATTACCTCTTTATTATATAGGATTGTGAATAGCTTTATGTAACCCTTAAATTCCTTTAGAGATAAGGTTGGAATAAATAATCTTGATTATAGTGTATTTCCAGGTTACCTTAAATCTGAGAATTTATCTAGTTGTTCATTATTATCAATAAATATGCTAAAATTCCTTTCATCCACAGAAATGTTTTCTTTTCCAATTAACTCTGTTTAATGCTCAAGCATAAAATACTTCATAGTGATTGTGATGAGCTATTTCCCCTCTTTTACATTTATATTTGAATTTAAATTTGAGTAGAAAAGGAATTATTTTTGGTATTACTTAATCTCCAGAACATTCATTGCACCCACCATTGGACATAATATCCAAAATAAATTAATTTTCTGAGGATTCACCTATATTTGGTAGACTGAGTATTTATTGGATGATGGTGATGGTTAAATTAACTTAGCAGGAAAATAACCTTTTAAAAAATATTATCAAGAGCAAATGAACTCATATCCTGATCTGAATTTGAGACCTTATGTATTAACTACAGGTCTGGTGCACAAATAAGTGCACCAGTGGGGTCTCTCTGCCTGGCCTGCAGGATTGGGCTGAAACCAGCTCTCCAACATCCCCCAAGGGGTCCAGGATTGCAAGAGGGTGCAGACCAGGCTGAGGGACACCACTGGTGCATGATTGAGGCTAGGGAGGGACACAGGAGGTTGGTCAGCCTGGGAGGGACCGCGGGAGGGCTCCAGGGTGTATCTGGCCCATCTCGCTCAGACCCGATGGGCTGAACCCCAGCAGCAAGCTCACCTACCAGTCGTAGTGTCTTTCTCCTGGTGGTCAGTGCATGTCATAGCAACTGGTTGACCAATCGACTCTCTGCCCCCTGGTGGTCAGTGCACATCATAGCAACAAGTTGGGTGGCCTTAGCATATTAAGGCTTGATTGCTTGAAAGGCGACCGGATGACCAGACACTTAGCATATTAGGCTTTTATTACATAGGATAGTCACATATACCACATTTCTTTTTCTATAGAAAGTTCAGAAACAATTTGCTTTTCTTTTGATAGCACTACTTTATGCAACTGTATTGTACTTATGTACAATCTGAAATTTGTAAAAAAATATCTGAAAAAGCCAACCAAAGGATAGACTTCCTTACTAGTGCTTGTCAGTTACATATTGATATTAATACATAAAAATATATGCATGTACCTCCACTTCTGTTGGTTTCTACTTTTCTTTAACAAGTAAAGAAAGCATGGCGGATGTTTGGTAACCTGATGTACTCAGAAAAAGAAATAAATAAAAACATAAAGTTTTTGTTATGGGGAGGGGCTGATGGCTTGTTGCAGTCTGGCCACAGCACCTTCAGTGTGGGGGTTTCTACTGGGGTGCTGGCCAGTCTGGGTGAGGGGCTGAGGGCCATTTGAAGGCTGGACATAGCCCCTTGAGGGTGGGGGGTCCTGCTGGGGTGCCTGGCCAGTCTGAGTGAGGGGCTGAGGGCCGTTTTCAGGCTGGCTGGGACTGAAGCTCCCAGCCTCTCCTTTTTTTCTTTTTTTCTTTTTCCTGGAATTTATTT